AGAAGGACAGAGGAGTAAAGGGACCTTAAGTCCATACTCCCACAGTGTTTTAAACTTTAAAAACAAAAATGTATTTGACCAGCACCAATCTAATATATAAATAAAGAGAAGGCAAGAAAAAAATGCTAAACTTGGAGTTGGACACGGGGCCTGAGTCCAACTGACACCTATTAATCCTTGAGCAAATCACTCTCTCTCTCAGGGCCTCAGTTTTCTATCTGCATAATGGGAGTGATAATACCTACCCTGCCTACGATTAAGGCAGGGTAGGTAGATAGGTAAGATAGTGCGAAAGTGCTTTCCAAACTATAAATCACTTCACAGAAGTGAGACAGCGCTCCTTTCCCAAGGAGCCCTGGGAAGACGACGGGGAGGAGAGTGGGGGGAGCCCAGCTGTCTAAATGCAGCCTGTGAACAGATCTAGATTTCTCTCTGGCACCTCAGGCTCCAGAACCAGAGAATCCAGTCTGCTAGGCCATGAACCTCAACCCACAACCCCGGCTTGGAGGCAAGGAGGAAAGCTGGGCCTTTCTCTGCTTGGCGCAGCTGGTCGTTCTCTGGAGCTGGGGTGATCTCAGGCTGTGGGCAGACTCCAGGGGGCACAGGGAGCACCCCCAAATGTGCAGCAGGGCACTCCCACTGGGGGCTCCCTGAAAGTCCTGATAGGAGGGAGAGCTTTCTTCTCTAGGGAAAAAGAAACAGCTAATCACAAGGGAAGCAGCCTTGAACCTCATAAACATCCTTGGGGAGAAGCCCGGCCACCTCCAAATTACAGGCAGCCTCTGCCTCTGTTCAAACAAATCTCCTGCTGAGTCACTCCTCCGTGGCGCGCTCAGGGAGGGGATCAACACAGAGCTGGGGGCTTCGAGATCAAGATGCAGCAGAGGAATGATAGGGAGATAGAGAGGGAGGCCCCAGAGGCTCTCACAGTCCTGGCTCACGTGGAAAGGGGACAGATGTGCGGATGGAAGGGAAAGTACATCTCCCTGCTCCCATGCCCCAGGCTGCTTGGATGCCTCCGAGCGAGGGTCACGGTCTTTCTAGGAGAAAGTGAGCGCAGTGCAGATGGTCCCTGAGCTGGAGACCAGCATCCTCAGTCCCCCTTCACTCCATAACCCACTCCTCCATCCCTCTGCCCTTCAGTCCAGCCCCCTCTGCTACCTGACGCGGACGTGGTCTCTCCAGTGCTGCAGCCGTCACCTCAGGCTGCCCCTCTGAGAAATGGGAACAGCCAGCTGCTTGAAACACGGGCTCCCAAGAGGCCAGGACAAGGGAAGACCCGAAATGCCGAAGGGGGCCAGATGGGGTGGCTGGGGCCTCCCCTCTCTTGGCTGAGACTCCCAGGCCACTCTGCTCCGAGGCTCTGGGCGGCCTTGGTCCTGCCTCCTTCAGGGCTCACAAGCCCAGGGCCGGCCTTCCGTGGAGGGGGACACAAAGAATTATTGCCGCGCCTCCCCACAGATCAGCCAGCAAAACGGGTGTCTGTCCTTTGTCTGGCCACCCGCCCGAGGCATGGGCTGAACGGGTATGTGCAGAGGGCTGACCGGGCGCTTGAGAGGTGAACCCAGAACAAGGGTTGAGGGTGGTGCCTGAACCAGGGCGGCCCTTCTCGTCACCTGGAGGCCTGGCACAGGGCACCATGGGGCATACGAGGGTGTGCAGGAAGGAGGTGGGCTCCTGAATGCTCAGCTCTGAAGGAGACAGCCTTTTCCTCCTTCCAGGAAATGGCGAGGCGCTCGGCCAGCCTGGAATGAAGGGGCAGTTCCTCTGCGCCCCCTCCCCTCCCTTTTCATTTTGTCATTTTTTTGCTTTTGTGCCCCCAGACTCCAGGAGACCATTTCCTTTCTCTTCCCTCATCTGCCCGTCCCCATCACAGCCCGTAGTTTCTTCTCCTCTTCCTGCCCTGGCTGGCCAGGCTTAAATCTAGGCCACCAGCCTCCCTGGCACATACCTACTCCCCTAACTAAGCTTCCCCACCCCTCAGAGACACGGGTATTTCACAAGACTCTGCACGGTGACCCAAAGAGGCATGTGCCATAATTACCAGCAGGCGGGGAAGCTGGGCTGACAGTGTCTGAGCACATGTGTCGGGCACCGAAACCATCCAGTGAACACCCCACCTCCCACCCCACAAAAGTATGGGCAGATGCGGGCACTAAATGCCAGGTGCCTGGGTGAGCCTCTGAGCGCCATCCGCTGGCAGAGCTCCGGATTCCCCAGATTCCTGGCAGGGCTGGAGACGTGAGCTACAGTGCTCCGGAGAGTAAGGATGGGGCGATGAAGTGGGGAGATGGAATGGTGTGAAGAGGAATTTATGGGCTGAGCTCGGGGCGGGTGTCAGCAGTAGAAGCAACAGTCAGTCACCAAACTTGAAAGGTTCCTCTGCCCAGGAGTTTCTTCCCCACCCTGGTGTCACGGAGCCAGCTTTCACCATGTTAGCATTTGTTCATTCCTCTGGAGTGAGCATCAGTGACTCCAGTAGAATCCTCTTTCAAAATGCAAACATTCTTTCTTTTTAAATAATTTTTTAATGTTTATTCATTCTTGGGGGGGAGGGCAAAGAGAGAGAGAGAGAGGGAGACACAGAATCCAAAGCAGGCTCCAGGCTCTGAGGTGTCAGCACAGAGCCTGACGTGGGGCTTGACCCATATACCACGAGATCATGACCTGGCCGATGTCGGATGCTTAACCCACTGAGCCACCCAGGTGCCCCTCAAAATGCAAAGATTCTGACCCAGCAATTCCACTCCTAGGTACGTCTCTTCAAAAGAAATTAAAATATCTGTCCACACAAACACTTGTAAGTAAATGTTCATAACAGCATCAGTCATACTAGACGGAAAGTAGAAACAACCCAATGTCCACCAACACTTATCCATGACGAACATATGTGATAATCTATCCATACAAAGGAATATTATTCAGCTACAAAAAGGAACAAAGTACTGATTCATGTTACAACACTTATCAACCATAAAAACATCGTACTAATTGAAAGAAGCCGGTCACAAAGGAGCACACACATTATACGATCACATGTACACAAAATACCTGGAACAGGAAATCTTGGACACAGAAAGTAGACTGGGGCTGAGGGGGTTGGGAGAAAACGGAGACTCACTGCTAATGGGTGAGGATTTCTTTATCGGTAAAGAAAATGTTCCAAACTTCACTGTGTTGATGACTGTATAACTCAGCAAATACATGAAAAGCCACTGAATTATACATTTTAAATAGGTTATGTGTGCAGTCCATGAATTATACCTACTTAAAGTGGTTACAGAAAAATTAGGCCCATAGCAAGCCTTCAATAAATCACAACTTTAGTTAAAAAAAAAAACAAAAAAAATTTTTTTAAAGGAATGGAGCTGAGGAAAGACTGTGGTATTAAACTAACACAGCTTCTGAGATCCTAAAGGAATAACACCTAATTCAGGGTAAAGACAAGGTTCAGACTGCAGCTGATGAAAAAATTCCAAATCCACCCAGGTGTTAAGAGAAACTTTGGCCAAGACTGACCAAGACAAATAATTAGAGAAGATGAAAAAAATGCAAATATTCTAAGGAAGGGGAACACTGATAGATCACTTAAAGGGAATCATCCTTCCAAAGGGCCCAGAGCATCACGGGACACCAGCTGTCCAAGCCATGAGTCAGAAAGAGGAGGAAGAGGAAAGGGGCCTAGAGCGGGATGCCTTTGAGCTGACCACCACTCGTCTACGACCCATCCTGGCTGAGTTGGTTGGTACTAGCAAAGATTACTCTGGGCCCCGACAGGCCCCTTCTCATCCTTCAGACCCTCCACTGGTACAACAAAGGGGAAAGGAACAGATAAGAATAAATATTAACACAATGAGAAGGAGCAAACCTTGACCAGACCAGAGAGTTCTCAGACTCTTCCTCCATCCCTTGGGCGGGGGTCTCATGAGAGGCTAATACAGTCTCATCTAAGCCAGTAAGTAGAACCAGTAGAAAACGACAGCCAACATCTGAGCACTTACCATGTGCTGGGCATTGTGCTTAATGTTTCACACGCATTCTTATTTAACCCTTATAACAACCTTATGAAGAGGGTGAAATTATTATCCCCATTTTACAGATGAAGAAACTAAGATGCAAGAGATTAAGTAATTTACCAAAGTGATCTTGGGCAAAACAAACATCAAAGCCCTGACTCCAGCCCACTCTAGGGTCAGATTCCCAGGACCAGGCTCTTAACCACCATGGTATTAACAGAAATCATAGTTCCGCCAAATAGGAGAAGGGAAAGAGAATGGGTAAGGAGTGGGAGTGTAAACTTTTCTATAATTCCTACAGCAGGAAGTCAACACATGTCTAAAACTGACAAATCAAGAAATATCACTATAAGCGTATTATTTAGAAATGGGGGTAAACACCAACAAAAGAGCTGAGTGTTGAAAGTGGCTACTTCCATGGGGCAGGGCTTGGGGTAGGAAACTGCCTGCTATTTTCTTTTAAAAAGCCTTTTGATATTATTAGATCTTTTAGAAATCATGAACATATACTCCTTTGATTGCAAAGTGATTGAAAAGGAAAGAAACAGAGATCGTCTGAACAGAAGTCTAATGTGGGGAACAGCTGCTGCTTCTGCCACACAGCTTCCATTCTCCTCCACCGGTAACAGCGCTTGGGTTTTGCTTTGGGGGAATCTCTCTCCTTTCCTGGGTATTCTGGGGGGCCTGCCAATCAAGGACCTCCACAAAGCCCTTGCCACGGTGGGTGAGGGGCCAATGACACCCTCTCCTTGGAAGACCTGGAACCAATTCACCCACATGTAGAAACTCTCCATTAGTTCCTTCCACTTATACGGATCCAGATGCAGGTTCACACTTTTTTTTTTAACTGAAGTATAGTCAACACACAATGTTAAATTAGTTTCAGGCGTACAACATAGTGATTTGACAACTCCGTAGTTATGCTGTGCTCACCACAAGCGTGGCTACCATGTGTCACCATCCAATGCCACTATAATACTGCCGGACAATAGGGAGTGCTTCATGAATCTGCACATCACACTTGCACAAGGGCCATGCCAATCTTTTCCGTACTGTTCCAATTTTAGTATGTGTGCTGCCAATGTGGGCACCCTTGGTGTGCACTTTTTTAATGTTTATTTATTTGTGTGTGTGTGTGTGTGTGAGAGAGAGAGAGAGAGAGAGAGAGAGAGAGAGAGAGCACGTGAGCAGGGGAGGGTCAGAGAGAGAGAGGGAGACACAGAATCCGAAGCAGGCTCCAAGCTCCGAGCTGTCAGCACAGAGCCAGACACGGGGCTCGAACTCACAAACAGTCAGATCATGACCTGAGCCAAAGTCGGACAGTTAACCCACTGAGCCACCCAGGTGCCCCAGTTCACACTTTTTAAGCTTTCCTTTAAATTCTGTGAGGTGCCCATTTCCTTCTAATAAATTCCTCTTCTGCTTAAGTTAGATGAACAGTCTCTGTTGCTTATAACCAAAGGAACTTACTGGGAATGTCTAATAAAAATGTTTGAGGTCTGTTTGTGCTTCTATCTGCCAGTATAACTTTACTACAGTGGCTTGCTAGTTTCTCTGACCTAAAACAAATTTTACCTTAAGATTTAATAAGCAGACACACATACATATAATGTGTATACATACATATAACTAAAACAAAACTTTTGCCAAAAATGTCCACTGTAACACTCTGATAGCGCTAATTCTATTTTTTAAGACTTTATTTTGTTTAGAGAATTTTTAGATTTATAACAAAATCAACCGGAACGTACAGAAATTTTTCATATGCCCCCTGCCCCTACATATGCAGAGTTTCCTCAATTATCTACATCATTCACCAGAATGGTTTTTTGTTTTTTGGGTTGTTGTTTGTTTGTTTTTTTTACTAAGGATGAACCTATACTGACACGACATAATCACCACAAATCCACAGTTCCCCTCAGGACCCACTCAAGTAAGTGAATAATGTACAGATTCTGTGGGTTAGGACAAAAGGATTCTGACTTCTATCACACAGAGTATTTGCGCTGCCCCAAAAAAACCCTCTGTGCTCTGTCTATTCATCTCCCTTCCACCTTCAAACCTCCTGGCAACCACTGATCTTTCTCTTTTTGTTGTCTCCACAGTTTTGCCTATTCCACAATTTCATATGATTGGAATCTATTTACTAAGGCTGGGGTCTAACCTCCTACGTGGATTTCAGACCCGCTGGTAGTAGTGATGATCTGCAGTTTGAAAAACACACTGGCTCACTGCACCTGTTCCATCTGCCTCCAACAATGAAAACAATCCAGAGAGCATATCAGCTGCGTTTCCACGTCCAAGTGTGATACACCAAGGCACATGGCCTGGCTGGTAGGGAAACACCGACAGAGTCCCAGGGCCCTAACTCGCACTAGCACACACCAGTAGGTTAAATTGTCTACACTGCTGACACAAGGAGAAACTTCTTCATGTATATGTTTGTTCACTCACTTTGCACATGCACTGCGCACTCACCCGATGGTGTGAGTATATACTACAGCTACCTGGTGACTGTCCAGAGCCGTCAATTCTGTCTTCAGGCTGGCTCAGAGGAGAGGAATCCCTGGACAAAGCCTGTCCCCTGACTGATTGTTTACCACCTCCCCCTCCTTAAGAGCTCAGGAATGTCTCCAAGAACAGACAGGCAATGCTTGTCTCATTCATACCTTTGAAGTAAAATACCTCTCAAGCCCAGCCTGAGAAAAAGGAATAAAGGGAATTTCTGTCTCCTCTTGTTCTAGAAGTCTCTGATCAGCTTCAAACTAATCCATGGCTGGCAACTGACTGAATTCCTTGCTCACTGTTTTTTTCCTCCTGACTCTTTTTACCCCTCGAGGCAAGCAAGAAAATATCAAAGGACAGAAATGTGTCATACTCATTCTCAACAGTACCAATACTTCGGTCTTAAGACCTTTCTGGATCTCTTCTTCACAGCAAGCAAAAAGAAGCCTTTCCTTTATTTTCCTCATACTCTTTGCCCTGCCTCAACCCTTCCAGAAGAACAGTGAGCAAGAGAATGGAGTAGGACCTGGGGTGGACAAAATAGATGGATTTCTTCCTATCTTCTGAGTTCCATGGCTGGGGAGTAACCAACTACAGAGAATGAGGGATTGGGGCAGTAGCAAGACCTGCAATGTGATGGAAATACTAATCGACTGGACAGAAATGGAGAGGAGGCTGTGAACGAAACTGATCATCTGTACTTGAGATGAAAACTATTCTAGGTAGTTATTTTGTGAGGAAGAGCCATAATCCAGGTGCCTGCCTTAGCTCCCCCAGGGAACAGGCTGAGAGTGGAGGAGAGGGAGGGAATCAGATACACAGTGCAGGGAGGGGAAATGGAGGGACACAAACTCCCCATCACCTGGGCTCCCATTTCGCTCTCCCCCACAATAGCTGGAAAAATGGGTGAAACAGTACACACCCTTTCTGGGTCAAGTTCCCTAGCAAAGCCTAGAAACATTCAGCTGCAAGTTACCCTCCTTTGCCTCTGAAGAGGAAAAATCACATGGTCACCCCGGGTGAGGACAAGAATAGGCACCGGGAACCAAGGGAGTGAGGGGGGCAGGGCAGGTGTGTTAGCCCTGGAGAATACCCCTCTGTCCCCCACCCCCACTCTGTCTAGAAGCTCTCGCGTGGGTCACTACCCTTCCCTTCTCAGCCTAGGTTCTGGAATCCCCTTCATTCCGGGGCTTGGACGCTGGACACGGAAACAACGTGAATAAAACCGTCCCAGGAAGCTACCGATCGGCCGGTGGGGGAGGGGAGCCAGGAGAACAGCAAGGGGAAGGAGAAACCCCAGCAGAGAGGTGACCCCCAAGCGGACGGCCCTAAATCCTTCCTAGCGAAACGTGGCGGTCCTGGCCAATGTCGGCGTGCCTGGAGCCATACGACCCCACCCTCCTGTCCAAGCCCTAGGCTTCACTTTGTCTTCTCACTCACCACCCAAAGCACCAGTAAGTTCTTTGAAGGGCCTCTGCGGGCACCAGGACCCACAGAAAAGCCGAATCCCCCTCGTCGGGGACCCGAAGTCCAAAGAGCGCAGAGATCCCATCCCAGGAGCTCATTTCTCCCCGACCCAATCTACTGCCCACAGGACGCCTGAGCAGCGCGCACTGGGAACCCGCGCGGAGTCCCCGGCAGGAGTCGCAGTGTCCGCCCAGAGGGCAGGTACGTCCCGAGTCTCGGAACAGCCTTCCTCCCGCGACCCCCCCTCCCCCCGCCCCGGACCCCCGCTGCCCTCCACGGGAAGGTAGATAAAAAGAAAGAGCGCGGCGAGCAGCCGGCGGCACGAAGCCAGCCCCAGGTGATGTCAGCGACCTCGGCGCGGGGCACCAGAGGGGCGGAACTGGAAACCGAGAATACCGGACGGGGGGAGGCGGCGCAGCCGCTCTCTCTTACCGCGGCCTGCTCCTCCGGGTGCACGCCCACCAGGGTACACCAGTTCTGCGTCCCGTTCATCTTACTCCCGCGGCGGTCGCAGCGCGAAAACCGACTGCCCGCCCCGCGGTCCGGCTCCTACTAAGCAGGCGCGCGCGGAACCGTGTCCTTGTATAGGCGCGTCGGAGGGCGGGGGCTGCCAGTTGGATACTCCCCTAAGATGCCGTTCGCCAATGAGAGTGAGCGAAAGAGCAAGGTGGGCGTTACCGAGAAGCACCAGGACACGCCCATCTGCTCTAGCTCAGATTTACATAAAGGTGGGGCTTGGAGGCTACCTGAGGCTGCTTGACCGAAATTTTGTCCAGCGTTACGTGGCTGTACTTCAAACATTCTTCATTAGTCTTGCTATTCCTTCCTTTCAACTCCAAGGTCAGTGTTGGTAAAAGAAAATCACCCTGCCTGCCCCTCAGAGGAGGAGTTGGAAAAAAGCTTCCCTACATTCTCGTCTCATATATAAGGCCAGCTCTGTGGAGCTGAGCAAACCTTTCCTCCATCACAGTAGAAATGCAGGCACCAAAAGGCCAACTCACTCAGACTGGCCTAAGCCAGTCTGGCAGGTGCCCTGCCCTGGCAGGAGGCCCAGGCCAAAGTCAACGACAGCTTGGCTCTGGGTGGGGCTTGTTTTGTAGAAGCTATTATACTAAAGCTGCCCTTATATGGCCGGGAGAGGCGGGACACGTTGCCTTAAAAGGATTTTGTATTCTTGAGAAAGGACAAACCTCAATTTCTCCAGTGGCATTTACTCCCCAAGCCCAGATTAGCATTTTAAGGACCTAGGGGAGAGGATTGCCAAGGGTGGAGTTTCTTCCAGTCCAACTCCTCTCTTCATTTTGGCTGCGGTCCACATAGGGTGGGCTGTGGTCCATATGGAAAGAACGCAGGAGCTCTGACCCACTCTTGGGTGGGCAGTGCCCCTGAATTTGGCAGCAGTCTCTGATGAACAGCTAGCTCCCTCTTCAAGGCAACACAAAAGCAGAATGACAGAAACTTTGCTACCTCTCAGGTAGGGACGGAATCCTCTATCAGGTGGGATGGGATGAGTGTCTTTGCACCTGGGAGGTCAATGATGGGGATGTCCCTGGGCCCCAAGGGAATATAACTCAATCCTAGTCTCTCTTTTAACCTTCAGAGATGGCATTTAGTGGCTTTCTATTCCCAGAAGGTTGTTTAGGAGAGAAGGGAGGTGCTAGAAACACAGGCTCCCTGGGCTCCATCTGACCTGTTGTAAATGGCCTCTAAAAAGTGAGGTAAAGAAAACCCCAGCTTCAGCCTCTAAGTTCTATAATTAAATGGTTTCTTCAGGGGCGCCTGGGTGGCTCAGTCCGTTAAGAGTCCAACTTCACCTCAGGTCATGATCTCACGATTGGTGAGTTCAAGCCCCAAATCCGGCTCTATGCCGACAGCTAGCTCAGAGCCCGGAGCCTGCTTCGGATTCTGTGTCTCCCTCTCTCTCTGACTCTCCTCTGCTCACACTGTCTCTCTCTCAGAAATAAATTTATAAAAACATTTTTAAAAATTTAAAAACATAAAATAAAGAATTCTAGGGCACCTGGGTGGCTCAGTCGGTTAATCGTCTGACTTTGGCTCAGGTCATGATCTTGCAGTCCACGAGTTCAAGCCCTGCGTTGGGCTCTGCACTGACAGCTAGCTCAGAGCCCAGAGCCTGCTTTGGATTCTGTGTCTCCCTCTCTCTCTGACCCTCCTCTGCTCACACTGTCTCTCTCTCTCAGAAATAAATAAAAACATTAAAAAAATGGTTTCTTCATAAAACAAACCTCCAAATAAGCCAGGAAAAAGAACGAGAAGTCAAGGATTTTGGTATAGATATATCATTTTAATGTTTAATTTAAAATAAAATCAAGGCTGGATTCATTTGGGGGAAAATATCTAATTTGCAGAATAGAGGATTTTTTTTTATCATGAAATTACAAGTCATTGACGAAAACAGCCTTCTCCCTCCCCCAGGCTCCTTACAGAGCCTGCTTAGGAAATAAGAGAGGTGAATCATCTCCCTTACCTCCTCCCCACCAGGGCTGGGCTCTCCCCAAAACCCAAGGGAGGAATAAATCCTCCATTGCCTCTTCCCGTTTCTACCAAGAGTCAGTCTTTAGTCCTAGGCAGGAAGCCCTGTATCAGGTTCAAGCTCCTGAGATAACAAGGGCCCCCTGGTTCCCTACTAAAGTTGGCCACATCTGGACCAGAGGAACCACAAGGAAGACCTTTGCTTTTCAAACTCAGGTAGGCAGTTATCAGGGTTCCCAGATGCAACCCCGTTATGAACACATCCAGAGTCACAGAGGGAAAGGAGGAAAGACAGAGACCCTGAGCAGAACCAGGCCCACCACCTTATCATGGCCCTACCAAAGTCCCTCCCCCAGGGCTCATCAGCAGAGGATCCCGCAGCTCTCTAGACCGTTCACTGGGGCAGCAGGGAAGGCCGAGGGCCCTGTTTGGGGAAAGCTTGGTCCTCGGAGAGGTATGAATGTGCAGGCATAGAAGGCAAGAAGAGCATCCTTCTCTCCTCACCCTGGCTAAGGCACCAGAAGGAAAGAAGGAAGGTTGGGATGGGGAAGATGGGAAGGGAGAACAGACCCGTGGATCCACTGGCTTAGAGAAGACAAAATACACAGGAGCGGAGGGAGGTGGGGACTACCATATGGGTCCCCCAACTGTGCAAAGAGAAGCATCCAAGAACTGGATAGAGCCACACTAGTGTGTACATTACCCGGAATGTTCCACCCTGCTCCAGAGTTGGAGGGAAACATGTTGCAGGAGTTGAGGGAGCAGAATCACAAAGGGTATTTTTCCCTGAGCCTAAGGGTTAAGGGCTAAAGAAATAAAGCTTTATATACATGGCAATATCTGTTCCCTCCTATCCTGTCTGAGCCACTTCGGCCTCTACGCTGACCATCCTATTGCTATGAGGGAGAAGAGGGAGGATCGGCACTTAAGGGAAGGGCTCAGTTGGCCTACAATACCCACTTCTCCAGAGGAAAGGGAAAGCCCATCCACCAGCTTAATGCTAATGCCTTTTTTTACCACCATCATTCACACCCCTCCCAGTCTTCAGGCTGGATAATTGGGTGTCCCCCTCTCTCCCCCCAGGAATGGGGGAACCCGAGGCTTGGCAGGGAAGAACAGGACGGCCAGGGCGGGCCTCAAGTGTGGTGTCTGGTCCCTTGTGGACCCAAGCTAACAGGAACTGGTCTGCAGGTTGCTCTCCGTGAGCAGAGATGCGATGGAGGAAGGGTCATAGACGCTGTCAAATTCCTCATCTGAGCTCAGCCCTTCGTGCTGGGTTGACTCGGCAGCTGCCCGGGAAGCTTTGCGCCTGAGTCAGAGAGAGGAATACTTGTAAGGGAGGGACACAAAGATTGAGACAGCCCCACTTACCATGTTAAGGAAATTCCCAGTTGTTCTAAGCCCTGTAGGTACTCACAAGATCCGCCACGGATCTGAGATCTGGGGAGATGGGATTAGACTAGGGGCTAAGATGCTAGAGAATAATCACGCAGGCTTCCAGGCAGGAGGACGTGACTGCCAAGTGCCATCTTAGGGGCCCTCCTCCCTATCCAGTGAGCCATCCCCTTCCCACACAGCTATCCCCATCAGCCGGGGTCGGAGCACAGCCATTACCAGGAGTCCTTCTCTAGGGCTTTGATCCGGGCTTGGAGCTGCTCATTGACCTCGTGCTGCTCCTCCAGCTCACGCTGGGCCTTCTTCCTCAGACCATCAAGTCGCTCAATCTCCTCTTCCGCTTCATCCACCTGCCGCTTCAAAGCCTTCACCCTCAGGCTTAGCTGGCAGGATACCGAGCCCCCATGTTAGAAAAGCATCTGCTGCTACCGTGGACTGGGACCCTCCCCTGTAGCAATTCTGACAAGGGATCTTTGCCCTAGAAATATATCATGACCAGGGGCAAGTTCCCTAACTCTGCAGGTTTGTTTCGGGGATTAAATAGGTTCTGACATGTGTAACACTGAGAAAGAGAACCTAGCATGTCGCAGGCATGCGACGCGTGTGCTTACTCTGACTGCTCTAACCCAGTCCCTCCGGTTTCGTCTCCGGCCTTATACAAGAAGAGTTGAAGCTGGGAAGATGTCTGAGGTAGGCCCTCCGGTGGCCTTCCAGCAAACGCTCAGTACGCGCTTACCACGTGGTTGCTTGGCCCGGCTACTGTGTGTACCTGGTCCTTCTGGTCATTGACATGCTGCCGTTCATCATCGATCTGGATGGACAGCTCTTTAACTCTCCGCTCCAGTTTTCGGTTCGTGGACTGCAAAGCTGTCTTCTCCCTAAGAGGGTAGGGAAGGGGGGGTGTCTCTGGCTGTCGCCATTTCTGAAGGAACCCCTACGGGGCCCCCTCCGGCCTCCATGAACTCTGCTCAGTCACATCACACTGGGAAGCATCCAGGATTGATGCCAAAAACCAGGGAGAGAAGAAGTCATTTGCATTTCAGAAGATCTGCAACTCTCTCTGTTCTTTACCAAAAAAAAGGTCCCCCTAAGGATGAGGCCAGGTTGGCCATGTGTGAGGTGCAAGATGGAGGGGGCCTCAGAGGAGGAAAGCCCAGAGGGAGGGAGGGAGGGCTCACGTCACCTCTCTTCAGCTTGCAGCCGCTCCTGCAACTCCCGATTCTGGGACTCAAGCTGAGAGAGGCTGGCGTTAGGCTTCTGGAAGCCTTCTGAGCTCGCCAATCGGCTCTTCAAGTCCTTGTTCTGGAAGGGACAGAAAGTCTTCACAGTCACATTCCACTTCCAACTCCTCCTTTGGTACTTTCACCTGCCTCCCGGGGTCTGTCCCCAAGACTCCCCACTCCCCAGCTCACCTGTCTCTCCAGGGAGATTTTGTCACACTCCAGGTCCTGTCGAGCTGACCTCTCCTGCATGAGCTCTGTCCTCAGCTGGTCCACCTGGTGGGGAGGGGTGAGAGGAGCCAGATTCAGGGAGGGCTGACACAGAACCAGCCAGGTGAACAACATGAAGCAGAGTAAACCGTAGGATGCTCCCTGAATCCCCACAATTCCCAGGTGACTAAGAAATCAGCCTATTCGAGTGGGAGGAGCCACGGAATTTAAACAGGGCCTCCTCCATCTCACCAGGAATTAGCATCCCTTCAGAATGGCAGTAGCCTGGATTCAGGCCAGAGAGTAATCCCAGGCCACCGGGACTCCTTCTTCCACTCAACTCCCTGGCTTCTTTCCACCCGCCCTGAAGCAGAGGGGACCTCGAGTAGCGCCAGCCATGAATGGACTCTGCGGCCAGAATCCTCCAGACGGTGAAACACAGGAGGGCGGAGGTGTCCTGAGACGGCCATGAGGCTCTGCAGTCGGGGGTGGACACAGGACAGGGGTAAGGCAGGGCTTACCTGGTCCCGGCCCCGATTCACACGTTCAGTCAGCAGCTCCACCGTGCTCCTCTCCTCATCCAACTCCGCTTCCAGCCGTGAGATCTTTTCCTGTGGCGAAGGAGCAATTTCTGCTGCACACGCTGGATGCCAAAACGCCACACCCCAACCAGGACACTCTCAAAGCCCTGCCTCCGCAGACCTGTCTCAAGGGTCCCCACAAGTGCCGCTGCCCAGAGCCACCTCGGAACTACACCTTCTGCTGACCACGGATGGCATCGAGGGGAAGGGTGAGGGGCACCTGCTCTAGCCTTGGTCCCCTGATGGGATGACAAACCCCAGAACCTGTCCCTCCCTGGGGCAGCCCTGTTTCCCTAGAGGGAAAGCAGACAGAAATCAAAGTGCCTGAGCCAAGGCTGGGATGGAAAGAGTCAGAAACAGAAGTGCCAGGGCCCAGACCAAGGAAGCACCCTGAGGCCAGGCACTAGCCTGGACAGATGAAGCGTCTGGTCTCTGGAGCCACACTGCGTGGCCCTGAAAACCAGATTCCTAGCAAAGGGGCCCTGGCTGATTACCTAACCTCTCGGTGCATCAGTTTCCCTCAACAATAAAATGGAGAAGACAAGACCACCTTTCCCACAGGGTGACTGTCGGGATTAAATAAGTCTGAAGTGCTCAGCACATGGTACAATATGTGTTTGCTCCTGCTATCGTCTTGTTATCGTGATTATTGCCAAATATAGCAAACTGAAGAGACTATTGACTCTAAAGAGATGTCACCACTCATGCCCAGCCAACTGCTGCCGTGGAGGTAACTCAGGATTAGAAGCTCGGCGTTACCACATTTTCCAAATGTACAAAAGAAGCCAGAAATCAGAACTTTTATATGACATGTATAAATTCCTAAACACTGACAATTAATTCAAAGCCGTTTAAAACACTGCAGTCAGGGGCACCTGGCTGGCCCTCAATCTCAGGAGTTGTGAGGTTGAGCCCCATGTTGGATGTAGAGACTACTTAAAAATAAAAAAAATATTTGGGGCGCCTGGGTGGCTCAGTCGGTTAAGCATCTGACTTCGGCTCAGGTCATGATCTCACGGTTCGTGGGTTCGAGCCCCGCGTCAGACTCTGTGCTGACAGCTTGGAGCCTGGAGCCTGCTTCGAATTCTGTGTCTCCCTCTCTCTCTGCTCCTCCCCCATTCGTACTCTGTCTCTTTCTCAAAAATAAATAAACAGTAAAAAATAAATCTAAAAGGGGCACCTGGGTGGCTCAGTCGGTTAAGCATCTGACTTCGGCTCAGGTCATGATCTCACGGTTCGTGAGTTCGAGCCCCGCATCGGGCTCTGTGCTGACAGCTCAGATCCTGGAGCCTGTTTCAGATTCTGTGTCTCCCTCTCTCTGACCCTTTCCTGCTCATGCTGTCTCTCTCTCTCTCTCTCTCAGAAATAAATAAAACATTGAAAAAAACAAAAAAAGACTTAGCCCACATTTAAAAAAATAAATAAATCTAAAAAACTAATAAAAATATATATAAAAAATATTTTTAAAAAATAATAAAATTTCTCTTTTAAAAGTGTTTAACAACAACAACAACAACACAACACAAAACAAACATCCCTGCAGTCAAACTCCACCAGCTGTGGGCTACCAGCTTCCGTCCCTAGAGCAGAAAGGGGGTGTGGTTTTGATGGTTTCCTGTCTCACATTCAGGTCCTTTATCCATTTTGAGTTTGTGTATGGTGTGAGAAAATGATCTAGTTTCATTCTTCTGCATGTTGCTGTCCAGTTCTCCCAGCACCATCTGTTAAAGAGGCTGTCTTTTTTCCATTGGATACTCTTTCCTGGTTTGTCAAAGATTAGTTGGCTGTATACTTTTGGGTCCACTTCTGAGTTCTCAATTCTATTCCATTGGTCTATGTGTCTGTTTTGGTGCCAATACCATACTGTCTTGATGATGACAGCTTTGTAGTAGAGGCTAAAGTCTGGGATGGTGATACCTCCCATTTTGGTTTTATTCTTTAGTATTACTTTGGCTATTCGGGGTCTTTTGTGGTTGGGACCTCATCAAGATTAAAAGCTTCTGGGGTGCCTGGGTGGCTTAGTCAGTTAAGCATCCGACTTTCGCTCAGGTCATGATCTCGCAGTTCGTGGGTTTGAGCCCCGCGTCGGGCTCTGTGCTGACAGCTAGCTCAGAGTCTGGAGCCAGTTTCAGAGTCTGTGTCTCCCTCTCTCTCTGACCCACCCCTGCTCACGCTGTCTCTCTCTCTTAGAAATAAATAAAAAAATAAAAAATAAAATAAAATAAAATAAAAGCTTCTGCACGGCAAAGGAAACAATCCATAAAACTAATAGGCAACCAACGGAATGGGAAAAGATAGTTGCAAATGACATATCAGATAAAGGGTTAATATCCAAAATCTATAAGGAACTCACCAAATTCCACACCCGAAAAACAAACAACTCAGTAAAGAAATGGGCAGAAGATATGAACAGACACTTCTCCAAAGAGGACATCCAGATGGCCAACAGACACATGAAACGATGCTCAGCATCCCTCCTCATCACGGAAATACAAATCAAAACCACACTGAGATACCACCTCACGCCAGAGTGGCTAAAATGAGCAAATCAGAGCACTCTAGACGCTGGCGAGGATGTGGAGAAATGGGCACCCTACTACACTGTTGGTGGGAATGTAAATGGGTGCAGCCCCTATGGAAAACAGGGTGGAGGTTCCTCAAAAAGTTAACAATAGAATTCCCCTATGACCCAGCAATAGCACTGCTGGGGATTTACCCAAGGGATACAGGAGTGCTGAGGCATAGGGGCGCATGGACCCCAATGTTCATAGCAGCACTCTCAACAATAGCCAAAACATGGAAAGAGCCTAAGTGTCCATCAACGGCCGAATGGATCAAGAAGATGTGGTTTATGTATACCATGGAATACTACATGGCAATGAGAAAAAATGAAATCTGGCCATGTGTAGCAACATGGATGGACCTTGAGGGTGTTATGCTGAGCGAAACAAGTCAGGAAGGGAAGGACAGATACCATATGTTTGCACGTATAGGAGGATCTTAACGGAGGACCATGAGAGACTCTTGAATGCTGAGAACAAACTGAGGGCAGATGGGGGTGGGGGGAGGGGAAGGAGGGTGATGGGCATGGAGGAGGGCACTTGTGGGGATGAGCACTGGGTGTTATATGGAAACCAACTTGACAATAAACTATTTGTAAAAAAATTTTTAAAAATAAAAAATTTAAAAAAAAAAGAAAGGGGGTGTGGTGTGTCCTGGCTCCTCCCACAGAAGTCCCACCTGGGCCAGGACCTGGACACCCGCCCCCCTCCCTCTCATCCCCTCATCACCCCCCACCTCCTTACCTCGAGGCCCTTGAGTTGCCGGGTCCTGTCGTCCTGGGACCGCTTCTTGTTCTCCGCCTCCTGCTCCAGCCCCTGCAGTCTCTGGGCCAGCAGCTCCTTGTCTAGCTGGGCAGTGTCTCGGTCCGCTTGGGACTCCTGCAGGGCCTGCCGCAGCCTCTGGGTCTGGGCAGAGGGAAACGGGCAACAGCATGGAGAAGCGAGGTGGGGGCTGGGGGCAGGAGGGGCGGGGAGGGGGGACAAGTGTTTCCTCACTGACATTCTTTAGAACTGCCAGAGCACGGTGATAATAAAAAGCAGGCTGACGTTTAGTCTGTTTTCTTTTCTTTGAAGATCTTTAGCTTTACTCAACCATCCGGGATCCCGGCAGCATCCTATCTAGCCCACAGAAAGGAGCTCCTAGTTCATTTTCTTTACTGTTTTAAAATGCCCTACACAAATTAGAATCACTTAAGTCGTTTTCAGGAAACTGATCGTGGGTCCTGGGCCCAGGGGTTATGAATTAAATGATATGGGCTGCAGCTTGGGTATCGGGATTTTTGGGTTTTTAACAAGAAAAGGTTTAATGTAACCACAAAACACAAGTTTATAACACATTGTTACTGGAAAAGATTGTGAAGGATTAAAATTAGCAATCATATTTAAAAACAAATTTTTTTAAAGTTTATTTATTTTTGAGAGACAGAGAAACAGAGCAAAAGTGGGTAGGGGGCAGAGAGAAAAGGAGACACAGAATCTGAAGCAGGTTCCAGACTCTGAGCTGTCAGCACAGAGCCCAATGCGGGGCTTGAACCCACAAACCATGAGATCATGACCTGAGCCGAAGTCGGACACCCAACCGACTGAGCCACCCAGGTGCCCCTAAAACTAGCAACCATATTTAAAGCATCTACCGTATGTCAAACATGACTCTATATTGATACCATACCTCCACTAACATTGCAGTGTTGACATTCTTTTGGTATTGGGATTTTTTTTTTAAATCTCCCCAGGTGATTCTAATGTGCAACAGTTTAAATATCGCGCTACAGGGGTCCGGGGGGGTTCTGCAGGTTGAGAGTCTGACTCTTGATTTTAGCTCAGGTCATGATCCCAGGATCATAGGGTCAAGTCCTGTGTCGGACTCCTCATGGGGCATGAAACCTGCTTGAGATTCTCTCTCTCTCTCTCTCTCTCTCTCTCTCTCTCTCTGGCCCTCTCCCCCACTCACTCTCTCTCATCCTGTCTCTCTCTAAAAAAAATTAAAATTAAAAAAAAGTCACGCTCTACAGACAACAGACCTCCTATCATTGGTTCCTACAATGGATAACTCCCCTACCTTACTGTGTCCTAAGTGGTTAGACCTCAACCCGGGTCCCAGGATCCCTTGGCCCCAGGTTGAGTTAAGAAGCAATGACCTTCAGACCAAGGATGTTGAGAGGGTTCCCACCCCCCTGCCATTTCTGCTCCTACCTCATCCTGAAGCCGGCTCAGCCCCCCAGAGCTCTTCTCAGCCTCACTGGCCCACTCCTTGGCCTGGCGCTGGGCGTCTGCTACCTCCCGCCGGGCCTTCTCCTTATAATCCTCCAGCTGGGCCTGGAGCTGCTGCAGGGCCTGCTTCGAGTCATTCCCGATCTGCTCCAGCTGAGATGCAAAGAAAAGAGCCTTTTCAGCCCTGCACCCCTGTCCCTTCTCTGGGCCCGACACCCCAGACTGTACTTCATGCCTCCATTCTCTCCCCTGGGCCTAGGTCCCCAGTATGGCCAGTAGTAATATACAGACTGCCTGGCTTCAAATCCTTACTAGCTGTGTGACCACAGCTTGTCCTCTCTGGGTCTCAGGTCCCCATCTGTAAAATGGGAAAATAACAGTACCTGCATCATGAAGTTGTTGTGAGAAGTACGATAGTTAATTACATAAAGTACTTACAGCAGCGTCTGATATAGAGCAAACCTAATTGACCATATTTCCACAAACCCAAGATGCTAATGATTGCAAGATGTACCACTAAGAAAGAAAAATCTACTGCTTGAACTGTAATGACCCATCAAAATTATAAGACTGAAATCAACTTTGAGTGCATTTTAGAACTGATGAAATATATTAGGTGTTTGCTCTAGCTTTAGAGAGAGATTAAAAGAACCTTACCTGATAAAAAGCAACTAACTTCCTTTTTTTCCTTCCTCCTTGTCCTCCCCCAAATATAAAATCCCACCCATGAAAATTCCCATATTTAGGTCTTACAGACACCTAGGGAGGTATTATAGATCCTTCCTTTTCCTACCCCAAGTAGAAAATTCTACTAATGAAAATTCTTCTGTTCAAGCCTTATAGATGTCTAAGGGAGAATCCTAGGAGACCTTCTCCAAGGACCAAGACCATGGTGTTATGGGATATTGTGGGAAGGTCAAGAGCACAGAGGAGGAGTAGGAAGGACACGCTCCTTGAAGATTTGGCCTTGGCCTCCCCAGCAATGAATTTGAGGAAAGCAGACACCACTCATTCTGACTTCCCCATCGCTCCCCTCTCCCCTCAGGCAAGCTCCCTAAAGACTGGGGCCTCTTCCTAAGAGCCCAGGCCGACCCTGCCCACCTCCTTGTTGAGCTGGCACACAGTCTTATCTAGCAGCCGCTTCTGCTCCTCCAGCTCGGCCTTGCCCCGGCGGAGCGCCTCCCGCTGCTTCGCTTCCTCCTCCAAGGCCCGGTTCAGTGCCTGGTGCTCCTGCCCCAGGCGGGCCAGCCCCCGCTGGGCCTCCTCCAGGCGGGCCTCCAGTGCCCGCTTGGCAGCTGCAAGGCTCCCCTCCTCTTCCTGAGCTGTGTTCAGGGCCTCCTCAAGCCGCTTTTTCTCTGCCTGGGAGAGGGAAGACGTAAGCCATTTGGAGAGGGGCAGACAGGAGGGAAGAAAGAGAGATTTACAAAAAAGGTGGGCAGTGAAAACAGGCTCAGAGGCACCAGCAAAGGAATCAAGACACAGGGGACTGGCATGCGGTGAGAGATAAGAGACAAAAATGCCGGTGCAAAGGCCAAGATGTTGATGCCAGAGCCACACTCCGGGAAATAAACCTAAGTTTAAACAGAGGGTCGTGAAGGCAAAACGCGGCACACTCAGGGCAAAATAAAACTGGTGGCCGGGGAGCTGGCGGGGAGTACTCAGCCAGGGATGAGAGGCCAGAGGGCCGGGAGGAAGCCGGCTCAGGGGCACTGACCTCCAGCCGCTGCACCTTGTCCCGCAGCCTCGCCTCCGCCACTTCCCCACCCTCCGCCAGGCCTCGGGCCTCCTTCAGCTGCTGCTCCAGACCCAGGATGCGCCGCCGGAAGTCGTCGTTTTCCTCCTGGGTTTCCCGAAGCGTGGTTTCCACGGCCGCCCGCCGCTGCCCCAGCACCGCCACCTCTGCCTCTGCCGCCATCTGAGCCTGCGGCCAGTTCAGGGAGCGGCAGCTCAGACCCCGGGGCCCCAGGGCACCGGCCGCTGCCAAGGAGGCCGCCCGGAAGAGAGCCCACAGGAGCCAGGCCACCGCAGCGGCCTGCCCCTGAGAATCCCAGGCCTACGAGGCGCGGCGGGGTCATCAGGGCCTCCCCGGCCACCCCCTGGCTGCTCTGAACTACACACCTAGGACCATGATCTGGTCTGTACATACCCACGGCAGGGAACCTCCGTGCCCGCCAGAACCCTCATCCTGCACCGCCTGAGCCCTGTGCCCACTCCCCTTGCCTTAGAAGCCTCTTCACAGTCCTGTCTCAGCTGCTGGAGCGTCTTTTGTAGCTGCAGGTTCTGCTGTTCCAGCCCCCGGCATCGATCCGCCTCGGCCCGCAGCTGCTTCTCCAAGTCCCGCTCCCGGTGGCGCCCAGCCACCTCCTGGCTCTGCTGCTCTTCCTTCAGCTCCTTCAGTTCCTGCTGTGTCCGGCGCAGCTCCTACAAGCGACGGGGGGGCAGTGACAGGGCACGGAGAGCCAATCTGGGACAGGAGACTGTGTAGCAACCGGGACTCTCACATGTCGCTGCGTGAACGGACGTTGGTGTGGCTACTGGGGCGGGGCTCAGTCGGTTGAGCTTCCAACTTCGGCTCAGGTTGCAATCTCGATCTCAAGGGTTTGCGAGTTCGAGTCCCGCATCGGGCTCTGTGCTGACGCTCAGAGCCTGGAGCCTGCTTCAGATTCTGTGTCTCCCTCTCTCTATGCCCCTCCCCCACTCACATTCTGCCCCCCCCACACAACATTAATAAACAGCAGTAAAAAGAAATTAAAAAAAAAAAAAGATGGTGTGGCTACTTGGGCAATTGGTTTGGCAGTTTCTCAAAAAGTGGACCCATTAATTCCATTCCTAGGTATATATCCAAGAGCACTGAAGACATTTTGGGGGGAAACATGTTACATGAATGTTCACAGCAGCATAATTTCATGAGAGCTGAAATATAGAAATGACCCAAATAACCATCAGTTGGTAAACAGATAAACAAAATGTCGTATGTCCATATAGAATATTATTTAGCCATAAAAAGTATTGAAGTACCAATACTTGCTACAACATGGGTAAACCTTAAAAACCATTATGCTAGGTGAAAGAAACCAGACATGCAAGGCCATATGTTATTGGAGCCGGATTCTGTGATACCTGCCTATGAATAGTCAAATCCATAGAGGCAGAAGGTAGATTACTGGTTGCCAAGGGCTGGGGAAAGTGACTGCATATGGGGTTCTTTTTTGGGGTGATTTGAAAATGTTCTGTAATTAGATAGTAATGATGTACAACTTTATGTACATATTAAAAACCACTATGTTATAAAAGGATGAATTCTGGGGCGCCTGGGTGGCTCAGTTGGTTAACCGTCCGACTTTGGCTCAGGTCATGATCTCACAGTTCGTGGGTTTGAGCCCCACGTCGGGCTCTGTGCTGACAGCTCAGAGCCTGGAGCCTGCTTCAGATTCTGTGTCTCCTCTCTCTGCCTCTCTCCTGCTCACACTGTCCCTTTCTCTCTCTCTCAGAAATAATTAAAACATTTAAAAATAAATAAATAAGTGGGTGAATTCTATGGTATGTGAAATAAGTCTCCATAGAAAACATTACATGGAATAGATGATGGTGTGGACAAAATAGGACTGGCTGTTTCAAAAACAAAAGAAAATATATTGAAAACCAAAACATGCAGCACGATAAATAGTGGTGCTGCTTTTATTTCTTTTTTATTTTTTAAATTTGTTTAAAGTTTATTTATTTTGAGAGAGAGGGAGCACAAGTGGGGTGCAGGGGAGAGTGGAGAGAGAGAATCCCAAGAAGGCTCCATGCTGTCAGCATGGAGCCCGATGTGGGGTTCAATCTCACAAACTGTGATATCATAACCTGAGACGAAACCAAGAGTCAGGTAGTTAACCAAGTGAGCCACCCAGGTGCCCCTATTTCTCTTTTAAAAAATTAAAATATTGGGGTACCTGGCTGCCTCAGTCAGCAGAGCATGTGACTCTTGATCTTGGGGTTATAAGTTTGAGCCCCACAGTGGGTATAGAGGGAGATTATTTCAAAATAAATTTTTTTTAAAAAAAATTAGGAGGGGTGGGAGAAAAAATTAAAATATGAACTCTGGTTCTAGTTCTTCAGCTACTAGCTACTTCTGAAATTCAGAAAGCACCATAAACAGACTGAAATATAATATATTGTGAGTTTTCAATGTAATACACTAACAAAACTACAAAGAAAAAGAAAAACAGGGGCACGTAGGTGGCTCAGTCGGTTAAGCATGGACTCTTGGTTTCAGTTCAGGTCATGAACTTGCAGGTTGTGGGTTCAAGCCCTGTATCAGCCACTTCACTGACAGTGCAGGGCCTGCTTGGGATTCTCTCTCTCTCTCTTTCTCTCTGCCATTCCCCTCCTCTCTCTCTCTGTCTCAAAATAAATAAACTTTTAAAATTTTTAAAAAAGAAAGAAAAAATCAGCACAGTGTATGGTCTACATTGGACAAGGTCCATTTTCCTTATTAATACTTTGTTATTGAGTAAGTATCGATAAAACCTACTTCATATGAGTAAATGAAGCACTAAGTATTACTTTTTAGCTTTTGAGCTTTATCTCACAGAATTAATCAACTGAGATTGTCCAGAGGAATTATATAGACTAATATAGCAAACAGACTTCAGACTATCCTTGATATTTGTTAACTTCATATTAATATAGTAAACTTTTAAGAGAACTTTTCATTTCACAGCCACTGAAGTATATTTGGTTTAGGTTTATTATGTTTTTCTCGACCACATATGTGCATAAGCTCAGACTTTTATTTATCTGGAAAATCATTACTTAGAGCTATACTTCTTTACTCATTTAATAAAAACAGTTACTCTGGTTAAAATCAGGCAGTCTTATGGTAAAGGCATGATAAACAAGCACTGATCAATAAATACTTGTTAAGTAAGCGCCAACTATGTATCCAGTGGAGTGAATCAAAGAATTATAAACTTAGAAGACTCCTCAGGAGGCCATAAATGCCAATTCTCTATACAAAAAAAATATTTTCTAAGTTTCTAAATCATCCAAAATAATTATTTGCTTTCTTGTCCTTCATAAAGTAATACAAGGAATATGAAGAAATTATTTATATTTACTTCAATGTGATGACTTTGTCATTTATAAAACATCCATGCAGGATAAACCATTTAATTCCCCGGGTCTAGCTGCTATGGTCTCCAAGCAGCCTTCAAATGACAATTTGGCTTTCTGAGTAGGTCAGCCTGCCAGACCAATATGAGTATTCCAGTCTGTGTGACACTTCACATTACGAGGCGATAAACTGGCATTCTAGCTGCAAATGTTTGTTTTGTAGATGTAGGTAAAGACTCCATATCTCCCCCACCCCGAGGCAGAGCAGCTCTCAGGATGCTGACCGAACTCCAAGCTTGCAAAAATGACCCTGGAGTTTCACAAATCCACCGAAATGCTGCTCCCCATGAGGTCTCTGGGGAGGTGGCCAGCAGCCTCTGGCTAGAACCCAATCTGGCCACCAAAAGTCCTTTACATCAGAAACTGGCATGTTCAAGATAGCAGCCTAGCTGGATGAGAACATGTGGGGGGAGCAGCCTAGCTGGATGAGAACATGTGGGGGGATATATGGCCAAACAGGTCCTGAAAACCCAGCCCACAGAAGGCCGCCCCAACAGCGTAGAGGCCGGGTCAGTGTCCACCACCCCGACCTGCCCTTCCACCCTCCAATTCCAAGTCCATCCATCTGTCCATCCGTCCTTCTTCCTTCATTTCTTTTTTTAAAGTAATCTCTACACCCAATATGGGGCTCAAACTCACAATCCTGAGATCAAGAATCCCATGCTCCACAAACAAAGCCACCCAGGCGCCCCTCCAAGTACCTTCTTGAGCTCCTCCATGTGGCGAGTATCTGCGGCACCAGCTCGGGCCTGCCCCAATTCCCTTTGCAAGACCTCCATCTTCTCCCCAAGCTCCTCTTCCATCTCCTCCTTCTCCATCCTCAGCTGCAGGAGTCTGAGCCCAGTGAGGTGAGTGGAAAGGGAAAGGGAACAAGATCAGACCACCTTCCTGGGAGAGGTTAGCAGAACAATGCAAACTACCTCCCCAGAGGCCAACAGCCTGGGCTTCCACTCTCAGCAGAGCAAAGGGCACAGCGTGGGTAGAAAGGAAGCAGGATGTAGGAACATGGATAAGCATTCTCGAGAAAGATACAAGGTCCTCACTCCTGCTTGGTGGCTCTAAGCTCCTCCTTGTTCTTCTGGAACATGCTTTGCCAATGCCCTGTCTCCTCAGAGGTCTCCTCCAGCTCTCTCTGCAGTTCCCGCACCAGGGTTGACATCTTCTGCCTTTCAGCCTCTAATGCTGCATGGTCCTAGGGAAGGGGACAGTTGGGGGCCAGGAGGCTCAGATCAAAGTGTCAGTGTGTAGAAGGGGAGGCCCAGGCCCACGGGGCACCACGCCAGCTGCAAACCCTCATCCCCCATCGATGCCTGGTGCGATGCTAGCAGTGAGCTCTTCCCAAGCCATGGTCCACCCCACTGTCATGGGGAGGAACCTCCCCCAGTGATTTCCCCATGGCACCCTGGTCACTCTCTCTCACGGTGGCCCTGGCCTGCACTCCCTCTCTCTGCCCTTGCAGGTTTCCTGGCCAAGGTGTTCACTACATCCCACGTGTGTCCTTTAGAAGGAGTTGCAGTGACAAGTAGAAAAGTCTCAAAACACCACAGCTTCTCGGCAGCCCGTCCTGGCGGGGGGCGAGTGGGCAGGGTGCGCCTGCCTCTGGCAGCCCCTGCTCTATCACGTGCCTGGGTTGCATCCTGCACGCTCCTGCGGAGCTGCTCTGCGTCCCGCTGGTACTGCTGCCGGACCTGCTCCACCTCCTGATCGCGGGAGGCCACCTCCTCCTTCAGGGCCCCCTTCAGGGCCGTCAGCTCCCGCTCCCGCAGCCGCAGCTGCTCCTCTACCCGTTGCTTCCCCTCCAAGACCTCTTCCAGAAGCTCCCGGGTCTCTAACAGGTCCTGGGGAAATGAGGATGGAAGGTATGGACATGACTATAATAGGATCCGCCTTTCTATTCATTCAGGCAGCCAATCAAAACTACTTAGTAAGCACTTCATACCTGTCAGGCTCAGTCCCAGGTGCGCTCTGGCCTCTGAGATGCCAACTTAGGAGAGAGGAAATTCACCATTCTGGGATCTAACCCCCCACCCCCACACACACCCCTGTGAATCTGTCTGAAAGCACGCTAAGGGGTGCCCGTAATCAGCTACCTACTGCCCAAACTTTGGGAAAACCGGAGGTGAGCAGCCATGCAGGTGCTCTAGCGGACAGCAAGTGGAGGCTGGGGCTGCCCCCTACCTTCATTAGTGCCTCCTTAGCAGGCTCAGGCCCCTGGGCCCGTTTTAGCTTGTCCTGCAGCTCCATCACTTGGGTCTCCAGCCCGTGTCGTACCCTTTCACCCTGGTCCACAAGGAGCTTCATGTTCTGGAGCCTAATAACAGTGGATAACGTTACTAAGTTCTAGGAGTCAGGCAGCTTTCGACGTACTTTACGTGTATTGATTCATTTAAACCTCCTTCGAGTCTTTGTTCAAATCTTAATGAGGCCTCCACTGTTTCTCCACTGATCTGCTTTAACCTACCCTACCTATCGCCTTCTCCCATGCTACAGGTTTACTTACCTAATATGTTCTTTATTTACAGACCCCCTGGCCCCCACTAGAAACTTTCCTTCTGGAGAACAGTGCTCCGCATCTGAACGGTTCACTGATGTACCCCAGGAACCCAGATCACTGCCTGCCACATGATTCACTGCAAAAACATCTGCTGCATGAACAATCTGTGAGGTAGGTACTGTTATTAACCCATTTTACAGATTTAGGGCCAGAGGCAGAGAGGCAAATCCAGGTAACCTAACTAAGGCACTATCACCATGAGTGATAAAGTAGAGAAAGGTCCTATCTGTCAGCTGTCTCTGTTTGCTCCTTCCAGCTTTTAGAGATCTCCCCCCTCCCCTGCCCCATCTCTCTCTCCCAGGGGGCACCCACCCACTCTGGCCCCCCACATGTACCACCGGCGGCACTCACTCTTTGATGCTCTGCTGGGCCTCCCCCTTCCTCCTCTCCAGCAGCTCCTGCAGTCGGCTACACTCTTCTGCCTTCTCCTCCAGCTGCCGCTCCAGCCCGACCCGGGACGGCTCTAGCTTCTGTCGCTTCTGGAAAAGGCGAGGAGAGTAAAGCAGGTGGAGAATAGGAAAAACCTCTCAGAAGGACCAGGAGTAACGGGAATGTCTAACACATGAAGACACTCACTAAATGACAGGCACTGTACTAGGGACCCTGTGCTTATTATCTGCCTTAAGACTTCTCACAAGCCTCAGGACTTGTGATGGTTTAAGGTACCTCCACTAATCCTCTGACATTCCTTTCAAAAGGTGAAGCCTCTTTGCTGGAGAATGGGGTGGACTTAAGGACTCTCTGCTAACAAAGAGAAAAAGGAAGGAGTGATGTATAGCTTCTGAGACTAGGTCCTAAAAAGGCATTGCAGCTTCCAATCCTTACCTTCTCTCCTAATCAGTCACTCTGAGGAAAGGTAGCCACCATATTGGACCCTCGACCGCCCCGTGAAGAGGTCCACATGGCAAGGAGGTGAGGCCTCCAACTAGGTGGTCTTCTCATGACCAGCCCCAGCCAATACCTTGCTTGGAAATTCATAACAGACCCTGCGGCAGAACTACCCAGCTTAGGGGGCGCCCAGGGACTCAGTTGGTTTAGTGTCCGACTTCAGCTCAGGCCATGACCTCACAGTTTGTGAGATCGAGCCCTGCATTGGTCTCTGTGCTGACAGCTAGAGCCTGGAGCCTGCTTCAGATTCTGTGTCTCATTTTCTCTCTGCCCCTCCACCACTTGTGCTCTGTCTCTCTCCGTCTCTCAAAAATAAATAAATATAAAAAAAAATAGATTAAAAAAATTTTTTTAAAAAGAACTACCCAGCTCAGCTGCCTCCAGATTCTGGGCCCTCAGACACCAGGAGACAACTGTTTCAAGTTGTTAAGTTTTTTTTTTTTTTTTTTTTTTTATTTCTAGGAGAGAGAGAGAGACAGCGTGAGCAGGGGAGGGTCAGAGAGAGAGGGAGTCACAGACTGAAACANTTTTTTATTTCTAGGAGAGAGAGAGAGACAGCGTGAGCAGGGGAGGGTCAGAGAGAGAGGGAGTCACAGACTGAAACAGGCTCCAGGCTCTGAGCTGGCAGTCAGCACAGAGCCCGACGCGGGGCTCCAACCCACGAACCGTGAGATCATGACCTAAGCGAAAGTCGGACACTTAACCGACTAAGCCACCCAGGCGCCCCTCAAGTTGTTAAGTTTTGAGATAACTTGTTACACAGCCATACATAAATAAGAGTCCAATTATCATCCCCACTTTACAGTTAAGGAAACAAAGGCTCAGAACATTTAAAGAACACGCCTCAGGTCAGTTACAAAGCCAACAAGTTAGGGTACCAGGATTTGAACTCACTTTGACTCCACAGCTGACCAGGACACTAGTTTGCTTTCCAGGAAACAAGGGGTGTTACAATCCAACACTTACAAGCACCAACTACATGCAAGGAAGTACCGGGAGAGGTGGAAGCAGGATGTATTTTTTTAACACATGAACTTTAGCATAAGACTGACTTGAATTTTCAAATTCTTCTCTGTAACTTACTGGCTTGAACACTCCACCCCTCTGATCATCAGTTTTCTCTTCATGGAAGTGTCCACAACGCCCACCTTACAAGGTCCCTATGACTAGGACACATTACCTGGGTTATCCTCAACAAGCAATGGCTACTGTGTACTGCCATCGCTGTACCATCAATGAAAAGGATCAGGGTGAGGAATCCACTCACGGCACACGTGGCCAGTGAGCAGCAAAGCCGGGAGGGAACTTCCAAAGGAAATGGAGAGAGGGCGGTCAGAGCCCAGATGAACGTGCTGCTGTCGCTGAGCTCCAGGGAGCCCCAGACGTGCTTGGTGGGACGGGCACATGCCCTTGCCTCTTGGGTCACAGAAGACACGAGCGCTTGCCCCGTTGCTTGGAAGAGTGGCCGGGCCACGGCTCCTCCCCGGTGTCCCATGTGCCTCCTACACCCCATCTCCCCTCACCTTCACCTCTTCATCCAGCTTTTGCTGCAGCTCCTCCACTTTTCGGGTGAGCTCACCCTGCCCAGCCTGGTTAGCAGAACCAGAAGTCATCTGCCAGGGATATGGAGGGAAGGGGTGAGTCCGTGCCCAGATCCCAGATCCCGAAGGACAGAGCCCTGCCCCCTGCTCCCTGCCTCCACTCACCACCAGAGGCTGCATCTGCTCCAGCACCAAGCTGACCTTCCTCTTCACAGACATCTCGCTCTCTGAGCTCCTGGAGGGTAAAGGGACAGAAGCAAAGCTGAAGGGAGGGAAGAGGTGGCAGAGAGGAGGGAAGGGAGTGCTCAGGGCAAGGAAGATGAGGGACGAAACCGGAAGGGAAAGGAGGGAGGTATGTGGCCACCCCGTTGGGAGGGCCCCACACACCCCTCCCTCAGGATTCTGTAGATGGTGGCCTTCACATGGTCCATACTGCCGGGTGGGGCAGCCTCCTGCTGGTCTCGGAGGAGGTCCGGGGTTGATTTGAACTGCAAAACATAAACCCCGAGAAAGAAGAAGATTCAGCCAGAGGCATGTGCGGCATTGGGTTGGCCCAGCAGCGGCAGGCGGACACCACAGGCATGACACGCGGACCCACGGTGACAAACTCGCCTGAGGCCCGAGCAGCGGGCCCAGGAGACGTCCAAGCAGGGAAACCCCTTGCTGCAGCCGCCAGCCACGTTCTCCCTGACAAGCGGACCATCTGTGTGCTAGAATTTGCAAACGATTTACTTTTAAAACAGGCTTAACCTCATCTCCAAGAAGCTGCCCCCTGACTCAGTCGCACTCGTGAGTGGTAGACGAGGCCAGGAGGCTGAGCAGCTCGCATTATACTTGTGCTGCCAGCTGCCGGCCAGGCAGGAGCCAGTAGCCCTCTCACTCGCGAAGGCGATTTCAAAGTCCGTCCGATTTCCGTGGAAGTATCTCGAACGCGAGCGCATCGTCTATTGAGTAGAAAGGTACGGAGGACAGCCCAGTAGAGACTGTCTGCTTTTGGTTATTGGAATCGGCAAGGGGCCCCGGGGCTAGTGGGTCAGGGCTCAGAAGCCCGGGAGGGCTGGGGTCTCACCTGCAGCAGGCCGGGGTCCTGGGCTCTCCCCTGCGGCTCCTCCAGACTCTGAGGAAGCCAGTCCTGCGTCCGACGGGCCCGGCTAAGGCCGCCGGGAGGGCTGTGGCTCTGGGCTGAGCTGCCCACGGGGCCATCCAGCTCTGTGCCAGGGGCCCCACGGAGGGGGGACAGGCGCTCCCGGTCCTCGAGGGCGGCCCGTGGGAGCCGGTTGTCCAGGCTTTGGCTCCGCTTGCGCTGCTCGGGCGCTAGGGTCCGCAAGCGCCGGCTGGTCCGGCCCCGGCTCTGCCCTCCGTGTCGACTATCAAACTTGTTGATGAGAGAGTCCACTGAAGATAGGGGAGCAGTGTCAATGGTGCCGCCCAGCGCGGCTCCGGGAGGGGCCAGCTCCAGCAGGCTGGCACTGCGGGCACTGGCACTCAAGGGGGCAGGGCCTGCCAGGGAGGCCTGGGACCGGGACCGGAGGAGCCTCCCGTTCCCACAGGCCCCGGACTCCTCATCCGAAAAGCTGCCCTGTGAGCGTGCAGGAAACCCCTTGGCGTGAGAGTAGGAGCGCTCCAGGGGTTCCGAGTCAGAGCTCAGAGCTCCTGCGGCCCCTCTGCCGTGGGTCCCCTTGATCTGGACTCCAAAGGAGTCACTACCTTGCTCCCCACTGTTGAGCACCACAAAGGGCTGCCCAGCAATGCCCTGCACGCGCACAGCGACCCCGTAGGAGCTGGCTCTCGCATCCTTGGCCGGACGCCGTCCACCACGACGAAGGGTGCCCATCTCCGTGTCACCCACTGGGTCTGTGATGAACCGAATCTGGACTCCATGGTCTACGGGGCCCCGGGGCTCAGTCATGGTGGACACAGGCTCCATGAACAAGAGGGTCCTAGAGAATTAAGAAAAGAGTTTAGGCTGAGGGACTAGAGCCCAGACACCTCCACCTGTCCAGCTTTTGTGCAGCTGGCTGCCTTGTCATTTCTTCCGCGTACAGCAGTGGTTCTCACATTTCATCTGAGCAGCAGAAGTACTCAAGGGCCTATGAAGACGCAGACTACTGGACTGTGTCCCCAGAGTTCCTGATTCAATAGGTCTGGATTCGCATTTTTAAAAAAAAAAAATTTTTTTTAATCTTTTTGAGAGACAGAGCATGAGTGGGGAAGGGGCAGAGCGAGAGGGATGCACAGAATCCAAAGTAGGCTCCAGGCTCTGAGCTAGCTGTCAGCACAGAGCCTGATGCTGGGCTCAAACCCACGAACAGCCAGATAATGACCTGAGCCGAAGTCGGACGCTCAACCAACCGAGCCACCCAGGCGCCCCATATCTCACTTTTTATTTTTTTATTTATTTTTTAATGTTTTATTTATTTCTGAGAGAGGTAGAAAGAGAGACAGGGTGAGCAGGGAGGGTCAGAGAGAGAGAGACACAGAATCTGAAACAGGCTCCAGGCTCTGAGCTAGCTGTCAGCACAGAGCCC